AGCAGCAGCAGTAGCAGTACCAGCAGGAGTAGGAGTAGTAGTAGTAGTAGTACTAGTACTAGTACTAGTAGTAGTCGTCGTCGTCGTCGTCGTCGTCGTCGTCGTCGTCGTAGTCGTAGTCATAGTCGTAGTAGCATGATGATAGTACGAGCAGGTGTCTTGGAGGGCCTTGACGATTGTGAACAGAAACTGCGAGACATGAACGGGCGCAGCAGCTGTAGGGATGACAAAGATTGCTTGCATTTATCTCTTCACAAAATTCTCCCTTGCTTTACGATTCAGACTGCCATGCTTCCAGATGACGGTGAGTGTCCTGACAAACGTTGTAACAGATCCTCGGACTGGGATTTTATGGTGGAACTCAAGTTAAGCATCAAAGCATGAGCCAACCATACCCTGCTGTTCTGGAAATTTGGTTGTAGTTCCGACAGGCAACCCCGCAGCCCTCTTCACTTAGTCAAGGCACCTCGGCCTCAGCCGCGCGACTCAACGCGCAGAGGAACTGGCCCCGGAAAGGTTTCTGCGAGCAATCCTCGCTTCAGGAGCTAAGGTCTAGATTTGTGCTAGTGGCAGCGGCGGTGTACGGTTTAGCTGATATTTGAAGCTCATACTCAGAATCCGAGGCTTCCAGGTAATAATTAGATGCAGATGCTCATAGGCTCATAGGTAACACGCGAATCCTGACAAAAAAACACGTCGCATCTGGATCTGGCTGGCCTGCAGTGAATCGAGTAATGAATCCACTGTAACATGCTTCCTGTATTTCTCACCAGGCCGTCCTCGAAATGGAGATCCCCCCATGAGTTCAATAGAGCAAAATCGAAGATGCAAAAACAAATTGAAATTCATTGCATCCAGCTGCTGCTCTATGAGCGCATGCGTGCGCGGTCAAGAAAGCACGTCATAAACTATGGACTCTCAGAGGCTCGTAGGCAATTCGAAGCGGAGCCTTGGCGAACAAGTCCAGGAGTTGCGACTCCTGGTACCTGACAAGTGTCAGGAATTGAGTAATCAGTCAGCTGGGTCTCTGTGACTATAACGCAGCCCTGTTCATGATGCATAACGCGCCCCAACTCAAGCAATCAGGACACCCACTCTCTCTGAGGAGGCAACCACTTGCTGAGAAGCTCCTGCCGAGAACGGCTTCTGCGCGAGGTTGCAACGCTGCGGACAACGACGATACCAATAAGAACGAAACAAAAATTGTCGAACAAAAAATGAGAATAGAGTGATCTGCAATATGACTGATTGACAGCGAAAACGAAATCATAAACATTGTTCATGCATGTTTGTGACCCTTAGCATGGCAACTTCCAGCCCAGGGTTACAATCGAAAATCCTAGATTCTGCAGATGCACACGCAGGCGCCTGAGGCCGGCAGTTCTCGAAGCCTTGCCGCATGACGAAGGCTGCCGGGCTTCGGCGCAGCGCCGCGTCCGAAAGCAAGCCCTCGCCTCCAGGAAAGGAGGTGAGCAAAGGAGGGGCTGATTCAGAACGTATACCCTCCCTGCCTTTTGAAGGTGCGCAAACTTGAGATTAGCGATTCAAGATGCTTGGTTACTACATTATGAACAAAAGGTTTCAACACTACAGCTTGATGTAGCAACCTTTTCAAGGGCTGGACTGTTTCTTTCAGGTTTAGGGTTTAGCGGCTGCCGGTTTGAGGTGTAAAGTTAGCAGCCAGGCTCAGGTTCTCAAGTTTTTCCAAACCCCTCGGACTTTTGCGCCTGCTTGGCTCGGTGCAGACTTCTTGCTGCACACACATTCCGTTTGGACAACTAGCATCCGTTGAAGGGAGGCCATTAAGTGGTAGGCATATTGAAATCCCTCGGAGCTGATTGCAAACAAGCTGGCGCGCCACCCATGCAAAATGCCCAACCCATGTAAATCAGGGGTCCCAATCCTTGATGTAGGCACTCTTGAGAAGGGAACCCTGATCTTGGGAAATGCCCATGTCCTGACAGCGAAAGCACGGCTGCCAGCAGTCGGCTAGCTTCAGCCAGCAGCGCTCTCTGCCTAGGTCATGTTCAGGGCTTACATTTTCCAACAGCTGGCAGGCTCCAAATTCGAACCTTTTCTCAAAATATTCCAGGCATCGTATGAATCGCCTACGATCTTGAAGTAGGTAAGGAGCCCCTTAAGAACCCTTGAAACCAAAGCTCCCTAAACCCAATTTGAGACATGTGACGGCCGCTCCAAAGCCTCTGCCGGTGCGGGGGCGCAGTGGGTGATCTGACACCTTGACATAGGTTTACTAGTGGAAACCGGCGTAAGGTAGGGTTGAAAGTGGCTTCAGTACTGGAAACTTGTATGTGATATTAACAACTTCTTGATTCAAACGTAACCAGTTTCATTCATTTGCCACTACTGATGCCAAACAAAAACGAAATTGTCGTGCTGCGCGCCTTGAAGCTGTCTTGCCAGAGTTTATAAGGGGCTTGTGGGACTTCAGCACTGTCGGTAAAAGCATGCATCCCCGACAGCCTCTTTGATGAAACTAGTGGTCATCTTATTGTCCAAACCTTGTTCCACCAAGATCAACAGTGTTGCCGCTGCAGCTGTTGAATTTCATTATCCTTAACACTGCTCAATTTCTTGCTCTGTTATCAACATGAGGCTGGCTCCAGCCGGACGCAACAGCGGGGACGCAAAAACGGGCCAGAATCTGGACAAACACAGACGCTGTGTTCAGGAAAGCTTCAGCAGCCACTCTCCAGCGAAGCCCAGGCACAGGTGTTGCAGTGCCTTGCGAGTCTCTTGGAGGATGCCCCGGAGCTCCTGCTCAGGGTCTTTGATTGGGGAAAACTGGCAAATTATGTGACGCGTGTTGGGAAGCTGAGAATTTCTGAGAATGTGGGGGCAACATGAGGCTATGCCGATATTTCCTCATGTATGCTTGAAGTTCAATGAATGCTTGCTTCTTATGCTTCACAAATGCTTTTCCTTGGATGGGAATGTACTGAGTACAGCCAACTGTAGGCTGGTCTTTGACTGTTCCCAGCGGTCCCTGAGCGTCCATGGAGATGCTGCGATACAGAGAAAAAAGCTTCAAGGTCAATTATTTGCTGTTTCCACAAGCACTTCGCAAGAAGTGAGAGACTGGTGGTTTGCAAACCATGGGGAAGGGCAAATGCTGCGCTTTGTGGGTGTGCAAACTACAGACATCTGCTGCGTGGAACAACGGGCGTATGCAAAAGTACTGGTCCATTTGCATGACTTGCCAGGGACGATGAATCCTGTGGCCATGCCACATTGGCTGACGCAGCCTGCCACCCGGCATTCTGATTTCAACATTTCGGTTGGCACAACAGTTTGAACTGGCAATGACCTCGGTTGAGCGAAAGAACTATACCAGAGATTGGGTTCGCATGCTCATTGGCAACTTCACTGTCAAGCGCCGATCCTCATGCTTGCCCAGATTGCTATCAGGACCTTGGATTTTTGCAAAGGATGAAACACACTGGAAGAATTTCGCTGGTGATGAATGTGATGTGCCAGCGGATTGCTTTGAAGTTATCTACTGCTTTTCTTCATGTCAATGCCAGACACTGCTTTCTCGGATGTTGGCAGTCAGACTCATTTTTAGGAAGTACTTCAGTCCTTACTGGTTGTGCAACGAGGCTACTGTTGCTACCAAATGCTTCCACTATCTAAATCCGCCGAGGCCAGAGGCCTGGGGCGTTTAGGTGGGGGGGTATGGAGGGGGCGTCTGGCTGGTCTGCTGCGTTCCGCAAAGGCTGGCCTCAGACTCCTTCTGGGCGCCAGTGGGGGCCAGTGCCCTTGCGCCTGTCCGGGCCCAGATGGCTGCAGCGTATGCTGTGCCTGCTAGCATGCACTCTCGCCTCGACCACAATCGCCGAGGCGGTCTCGCGTTAGCGATTAAATCACCGTCAGGTACTACTTCTTGGGCAAACCGTTGCGATGCATAGCTTGGTGGGTCCTCTGCCGCCTCACCCAGCCGCTTGAATGCGTCGTGAGCCTGCAAATCAATGCCAACAGCATCGCTCACTGCTACTTTAAGTCCTGTTCATTAGTTCTTAAGTACACGTCATGGCTAATGGACTTGAGAGTTCTCATCCACCGTACACTTTGCAAGTCTTGCATGAAACAAGACTCTTGATTTACACGAACGCTCCCTTCGCACCCCTCCGCCTCTTCGATCCCTGGGTTCTTGTCTGGATGCAGAGCTCGCGAAAGTTGCCGGTAAGCATAGTTGATATCCGACTCCCCATAGCCACCATGATGCACACCTCCCAAGCGCAACACTGCCCCGGCACCCAGCACTTGGCCGCCTTTCTTGGTGAGGATCCGTGGGATCTCCTCCGAAGGCAAAGCCACCAAGATCTTCTCCGCAGCATGGGCCTGCTTGACTTCTTCCAGAAGCCGTCCCCGTAGCTCCAGGTCAGCAAACCAGCAAACATCCCCGAAGAGTTCCACCCCTTCCACGCAGGACTTCACCTCCGGCTCCGGCTCAGGAGGTGGTGGTGGCGCTGGGGGCGGCGCTGGTGGCGGGACTGGGGGCGGTGCAGACGCCGCACGCTGGACGCCATTGCCACCTGCCTGGAGCCTCTTCAGGATGCCAGCCTTCACCTCAAAAGCCATGCAGAGGGCTCCCCAACACTCTGACGTGGAGCTTGCACCAAAAAAGTAAGAAACACGGTTTACATCTGTTTACTGCATGTCCAGACCAAAGAACATTTGTCGACAGGTTGGTCCCTGATTGCAGTGCTTTCCTGAATCTTTAAGCCACCACACCTTCAAGCAACCCAAGAATGAATCCTACGAATTGCGCAGGCACGTTTGCAACTTACAGGCGTTTCTCAATTAGAAGGATCTTTACAGATGGAGCTCAATTTGGATACTGTTGCATGATGGCTGAGGGTTCAGTTCCTGGGAGCTCCAAACAGATGCCGACAAAGGGCCGAAGCGAAAGTCTGACCTATCAAAGCGTCATCCTGACACCATAATCCATAATCTTCTTTGGCCCTAGCCCCCAGCGCCAAAACCACAGAAACCCTTAACCCAGAGCATCTCTACCCGGTCTGAATCCGAAAGCAAAAACCCCGAACTAAACCTCTATGCTGCGTTTTGAAAGCTTGATAGCTTGAAAAAATCCGCATGAACGATGCAACAGGGAGCTGAGTCCAGCTTCGCGGCGCGCGCTGCGGGCGGTAGCGAAGCCAAGGCCTGCACTGGATTTCGCGTTCAGGAATGTTCAGGAATCTTGGGATCTGGGAGGTTGGGGTATCCACATCAAACTGATTGGCCCACTCCTTTTGCTCGCTTTTTGCAAGTTCACCTGCTTCGCTCGCCGCTAGCAGTGCTGGCATAGCCTCTACACTCACCCCACGATGCTGGACATTACAAATCCCTTTGGCTGCCCTGGCCCATCAAAGTTCTCGTTCTCTGCGTTAGGATTGAGGTGCGTAGGTTTGGGGCTGGCCGTTGAAGTGCTTCTACCTGTAGTTTTACAAAGGCGTTCCAAGGGTTGAAGCGCTTACATTCCTCTTGGAGAGACGGAATGTGAGGGAAGTAGCAAATGAGGTTTCAAAAACCTCCCTTAATAGCTGGTGGCTTTATCTTAAATATGGGCCCAGATTTGGGGTCCGTTCATGAGCGGGATGGTCTCTCAAGCTTCTCTTCTGCTTGCCCTTACAATGGTATCAGGAATGACGATAACACGTGAGGAAAACTGAGCAATCGTCAGGGACACAACATAACCTGAAAAAGGAAACTGAAAGTGATAAGATTGCTCCAGGAAAAGGCAAAGTCTGAAACACCTAGCCTGAAAACTCTTGGACCCCCTAACCCAAACCCCCAAACCTCTGAACCTGAAACACGTAGGCCCTACACCCTTGGAGCCCTCCAGCGCCTTTTCAGCCATCTCCTGGGCTTGTTTTTCGAGGTCGGCCATGGCGGCCACACAAAGTTCGCGCAAGCCCTACCCCTTCGCAACGCAACTCCCTTCAGTAGCCAGACTCCGGGAAGCCATCATGCCTCCTATTCTACTTCTGAGGAACGCCTCCTCTGCCACCGCTGATGTTAAGTCTTCCCTCTCTGCCTGCTGTGAGTCTTAATCCCGACCACAGTAAGTCTGTGTCGATGCCTCCGTCTCCGCCGCTTTGAAAGGCTTTGAAAATTCAGGTGCAGGCGAAGACGTTCCAAAACTGGATTCTTAGAATGAAGACATGCCTGAAAGAAGGACCACAGCAACGGACTAGCACCGTCGGGCATGCCCAAGCACCAGATCAGGCAGCAGGGCCCCCACATGTAGAGCTGTTTTTCATGGGAGCGGCACATCCATGGCTCATCAGCGCTTTTCGCGCAAGACGAGTTGGCAGATAAACCAGGTGAGACGTCTGATTTCTAACCCCATCGAAGACCCCCCAAGCCTTAGTTGTCCTCCCCTCCCCTCGAAACAACCTAGTAACGGCGGATAATGCACGGCACATACTGATTCACGTGGTTGACTACCTCTCCTGGTCAGAGGCTTCGGTTGGAAGCAAGCTGCCCGTTGACCGCGCTGGCCGGGCTGCGACGGGGCATCAGTTCAGGGTGCATGGCGGCCAGAACTAAAAGAAATGCAGGTGGGCCTCTGCGCCAGCTGAAAATGCTAGCAGACATCGCCGCTCCCAAGACCTGAGGGGCAGAAACAGACTCAATTCCTGCTACAAAAAGGCTGGAATCATGCATGGGGGACTCCAATCATGTCAGGAAGAGAGGTCCCGAAGAAACTGCCCATGATCATGGCTGCAAGGTCCTGTGTCTGTGCCTCTGGGGCCCACACCAGAAAGATTGCAGCGGAGGAAGCCCACCACCGCCAAGTCTGCAGCGGCTCCTCAAGCAATGCATGTGCACCCATTTGCAAAGCGGGGAGGTTTTTGTGAAGGATCTCTACAGACCACCCTGACTGCACAGCCAGGCATGACCAGCCGCTCCTCCACCTGCTCTTCCTCTACCTTCTCTAGCAGAGAGCTTTTGTCGAAGTATGTGCCCTTAACGCCATTCGCCGCCATGGCCTTTCCGGGAGACTTCTGAGAGCAACTGAGCAATGCCTGTTAGACCATGAAGTATAGCATTTTGCCCCGCATGGCCTTGTAGCTGTGTTGGAAAATTTTGATTGCAGCTTTCGTGCTATGGTCCACCTTCTTTTGCTCCTGACGCAAGCAAAAATGATCGGCGCATCATTTTGCAGCCCGCATAGCCACACTGCCTCCTGGTGGTGCTTGTCGTGCTTCAGCTCTTCAACAAGCGGCTCCATGGAGGCACGATCTGTCGGGTCAACGTCCATAGGAGCCTCAAGTTTGCTGTGTCTCTTATTCTATGCATTGTTGGAAGTCTTTTGTTCAAGGTGCAACACTCTTTGTTTGCTTCTGGGATTTTTTGGTGCACTCTTGATCGCTTGGCCATAACCAATATGAAATACACTCTGGGAACAAGTTAGTTGGCCACCAGAACTTGTACTTTGTAATCATTGAAGCACACGGAATGATCGAAAGCGGACCGATTTGCACGGACTCTTGTCCTAGACAAGATGGTAACAAGGCAACAGCTAAAAAAGATGATAAGCTCTCAACTGGAACCCCAAACACTCACAAAGTGAGAAACAACGGAGAAGAGAAGCCAGCCAGCTTCTAAATAATCGCACGAACCCCCTCCAATCCCTCCAGGACTCCCTAACAACTTTTCCCGCGGACCCCTCATATGATTTGGAGGGGAAGGGGGTCACTTGTGACTTCTGCTAGCGGTCACTTGCGACTTCTGAAACGCGCGAATTTGCGACACATCTCAGCAAAAACGCCTGGGGTCACTTGACTTCTCTGGGTTCAGCTCTGAAAGCACGAGGCTTGTGCATGTTATGCGAGCACAAGCATGCAACTGGCAAGAGTCGAGGAATCACAGCTTTGAAAACGACGACAGTTTTGCATTTTGCCGGTTTAAGGTTTATGGCATCAAGGGTTTAGGGTCAGGGCTAGGTTCACGGTTCAAGGGCAGGGGAAATATGGCCTTGACTGGAATTTTAAGGACTGGCTTGAGGTTGCAAGGGCCAGTGGCTACGGTATCAACGCTTTCGGGCCAGGGCTCAAGGCTTTTTAGGGAAATGAATACCTGAACATTTTCCCTGGAAACTTCCCCCGTGGCTGCGATGTTTTCACTGTCACTGTTCGTAGTTTTGGTGTTGGGGGCCAAGGCATCAACGATCTAGGGCGAAGGGTTTGGGGTTTAGGCGTTGCATGTTTTTTCAGGGAAATAAATACCTCAATATGTTCCCTGAAATTTTCCAGCTTGGCTGGGGTGTTGTTTTCTAAGGTTTGTTTTTGACACACCTTCCTCCTTTTTTGGTTTAGGGTTAAGGTTTCGGGTTAGGGGGGTTTAGGGTTTAGGGCCAAAGTTTAAGCCTTGGGGTTCCGGGTTGTCTAGGTTTAGGGTTTCGCATTTCGGGTTATGTGGTTTTTTTGTATCAAGGCTTAGGGTCCAGGGTTTAGGGTTTAAGGCTAATTTAAAGTTCAGGGTTTGGGGCTCAAGTTTAGGGGCTAGGATTCTAGGGAGCGAGGCTGGTAAGAAGGCTTTCCAGCATTCAGGGTTTAGGGTTAGGGTGATTGGACGTTAGGTTTTAGGCTTAAAGTTACCAGCAGAAAGACCTGAAACACACTTTTTCCTTGAGCCATACACAAGAGTTCGGTAATAACACCCCCCGCGCATCTTAGTGTCAACGGAGAGGCGTTATGCGAAAGAAAGCTAGTGTGATTCAATCATCAGTAGAAAATGCGATTATGTTGAGGCTCGCAAAACGTGAAAGATGAGCGTATGCGATCGACGCCGACTAACTAGCGTATTACCAGCCCGTTAGGGCGGCGAAGATCACTGTAAACACGCTCATTCATGCAAGAAAATAGCAACTGCGAATGGGAAAACCAGCCTGATGCGCATTGGAGGCCAGGTCGAAATGAACTGCTACGCCCCAAAGAAGAAATCTGGCTACTTCACTAGCAAGCTCGTTAGAGCGGCGCTCATCTCACGAGAGGAAGTTCAGTATCGCCAGCCCCAATTGCCAGCACCATCGCGCTCATAGAAGTTCCATTCGCGGAGGAACCACATGATCTCCGCACGTCCGCACTGGATGAAAAGCCACGCGGCGTGTTGACATTCGGGAGCACGAGGCAGGTGAAGTCGTCTCGAATGATCTCGGGCGAATTGCGTGCTCGAAGAACAGCCCAAATGTACTGATCAACACGATTGTAGCTGTTCAGGGGCAAAGCCGCAGGATCAATGAAGTCGCCACGCTGGCTATTGGGATAACTGCTCATGAGGAGTACCGTAGTCACGGTTGGCCTCCTCGATGATGCTGAACATATTTCTCATCGTCCTTGCCTGACGTTCTGCAGACACGACGTTCGGCCTCGTATTGGCGTCAGTCGGCATGGCCTTTGGGATGACCGTGGAAGCCAGGGCCTTTGGCACAGCGGGCACTGTCGGCACGTGTGCCCCCAAGAACAAGAGGAGGCTGGCCAGCCCTTTCGGGCGGCGGGACGATGGTCGCTGGTCGTTGACCGTCCCGGCCTTTGGGCCACGCCCCTCAGAGGCAGCCGGGGCCGCCTTTGGCGAAAGGGTCGTGCTGCATGTGTGAGGACGCCGTACTCGACTGAGGCGGGTAGCTGCCCTCACTCTCGTCGATGCCACCTTTCCGGGCATTACTGCCTCGCTGTAAGGTCGTTGCTTGGGTGACCTTGAACGCGTGGCTGCATCGAAACGTCCGTATCGCCCTTCCTGAAGATCTGCGAAGTCTTGGGCGGAGAAGTAGGTGCCAGGATCACGCGGCGGTGCTTTGGGAGGTGTAGTAGGTCGAGTAACGCCTGATCCACTTGCTCGCTCATGTGCACGGGGTGCTGGAGGAGCTGAGAAGCGGGGGCTCCCGTATTCTCCAACAGTTGATGGCTCCCGTCTGGAACAGAATGAAGGCGTCCTCGACCAGACCTTTCGGCCGGCGTGTATCGTTCACGTCCACGAGCGTAGACCTGATCAAATCTGGACTGGGTCTGGCCGTCATCGATGCGCTGATAGAATCTGGTGCTCCTCAGCATCTCGTTCAACTGACGCCCCTAAGACTATCGTAAACTATTTTTAGCCCCCAAAAATTGCCTAAGATATTTTTAAAATTGTATATTAGATATATATACTATTTTTGCGGGCAATTTGCGCCGACAAAAATAAGATATAGACAATTCAGAATTAGATATTTTTGGTTGTGTTGGACAACCAGAAAAATTAGATATATATACAATTTGGTGCCCTCAAAAATTGTATATAAATATATATATACAATTTCGTGTTTGCCTACAACCGGAAGTTTCGAGGAAATTTCCAGTAAACTGCCGGCTATGAAGGGTGGTGAAAGCGGAAGTTTAGCGGAAGTTTACTGGCAGTTTGTGTTTGCTATTGTAGTGTGAAACCGGCAGTTTACTGGAAGTTTGTCTTGGTGGTTTTCCTAACAAAGAAACATGTTTTTTCTTCCAACAACAAGAAAAGCCTAACATAATTAACCCTAAACCCCAAGTCTACTGCCTTGTAGGGTGAGGTTGTTTCCGGACCGCCCAGCAAAAGTGACTGCAGGACTGAGGCTGAACTATGCTGCTGCCCGAAGGGATGACAGGGGTCGAGGGTCTTGGTGTGGGTGAGGGTTCACCGATGGGTTGACCAGGGCAGCAGCTAGGCTCTGAGGATGTGCAGCAACTGGGTGAGTGAGTGCACGCTGATTCATCAGGGGTTTGTATCAGCGTTGCCAGTGAGGGATCTCGAGCGCTCTTCCACAGGAGGGCTCATCTGCTCGTGTCCCGCCTGTCCAATTTGGACTTTGTTCTGCAGAGAGCAAAAGAGGCGCTTACAAAATAAAAACCGACCCTAAACCCTAAACCCTAAACCCTAAACTCTAAACCACAACAAAATCATGAACCAACATAGCCCCAAACAAACCCGGAAGTTTACTGGCACTTTGGGCCCTGGAAATCGGAAGTTTGCCGGAAGTTTGCTGGAAGTTACTGTGGGCAATTTTTGCCGATATATACAATTTTTTGCCGACAAAAAATTAACTATATATACAATTTTTTTTGCCGACAAAAATTAGATATATAGACAATTTTTTGCCGACATATCTTATTTTTGTAGACAAAAAATTGCCGACAAAAATTAGATATAAAATAAGAATCCTATTTTGATAAAATTAGATATATCTTAAAATTACCTAGTATATATCTTATTTTTGCCTACAGGGCTAAAAATAGCCTAGGATAGTCTTAGGGGACGGTGGCTAATGGAAGCCAATCCCTCTGGGATGCGAAGATTACCGCGGACATGAATGGTTGGCACACTCTCCCTTCCACGTTTGGCATACTTCAAGTCGTTCTTGAAGATCTCAAGCAAGCCTGACATGATAGCAGCAGCGGAAGGATCACGGAAAGCCACAATGTCGCTGTCAAATCTCAGGATACGGAGAGGCGGTTGCCTACCGGAACGAACTGTCGCCTGAATGATGATCACAGCTTCCTCTGGTTTGTAAATGCGATCATTCCAGCTCAGGAAACGGCTTCGCCCGAAGTCAAGTTCAGCAGCGCCATCTCGCCACGCAATTGCAAACCTGGCATCATGGGTAGGAAGAGTCTCGCGCCCGATGGGTGTTCTGATGCGCTGGAAGACTTCAATATCCTCCAAGGTGGTGACATAAAGTCCATGTCGGGCGTAGTTGTACGACTCCCAAGGATGTCCAGAGAGAAGATCAACAAGTCGTTCGCCGCCTTGGTTGTAAACCTTCTTGGCGACGTTGCGCACCTTCTTGGCAAGGTTTGCACCCGCCGACTGCTGCTGCCTCTCTTCGCCAGTGGAAGTGTGTCCACGATGACAGGTAGCATGCGTTGCGGCACGGGGCGCAAGACTCGTGACATTGAATGGCCGGCCCTCTCGGGCGGCGACATCTCGTTCGCGGCTTCCTTGTGTGAGGCCAGAGAAGTTGGTATGAGGCTCAAAGCGAGCGCCACAACCTATACAATGTATGAAGCCATCACGGTGCTTGGAATTGCAGATCACGCACGACCTTGTTGGGAACACGATGTTGATCTGAGCGGTCCACATCTCGGGCGAAAGCCGCTGGCGACCTGGGACGTTTGCCTGATCACGGTTAGGGAACACATAGAGACCGTCCCTGTAAACGCCATAGGCAATGCACTGGTCCGACTCATTGGTAGCCTCAAGGACCTCTTCGGGGAATTCAACATGTGTGTTCTTGCCGGCGATGTTCACGATGAGTCCTCCGTCGCTCTCGTCCACAAACTTCAGAAGATATGGGACGCGGCAGCCTCCCGCCAACTCCAGCCACTCATTGAAGTCCTCTCGGATCCGGCTTCATAAGCATCCAGGAGACATCCAGAACCATGGCGGCTGATGAGATCAGCATCGCGCTCGGAGATGATGGAGTAGGCCTCGGTAGTACTCTGAAGCGCAGCCTGGAGACGTTGGCGGTACAAGCCGTAGACACGATTGTGGAGCGGCGATTATAAATGAAAGTAATGTAACGGTTGCTGACCCAATCAGGAGTCTGGAGACACCCGCTGGCGGTCTTCAAGAACCGTACATCTTCCAACGCCGCAAGCTGGACGTCGACAACCACCTCGATCTCGGCGTTCTCACGGATGCCTTCGTTGTCCGTTCGGACCCGGTTGGGCTCGAGGGAGAACATGACGAAGGGCTTGACAGGACTTCCGTCCGTCGTGAGACCTCCAGGGAAAAGACCATTCAAGATCGCACTGCCAATGTTCTTCTTCTTAGCGGCGTGGTATGCGACCTTTGGGAAGCCCCTGAAAGATGCCGAGAGATGTCCGTCGAATCCAACAGGAGGCCGAGACAATGGCGATGGAACCCAACTCGGTGTCAAGTGGTAAATGTCGCTGTGCATAGCAACCCAATCTTGAGCATCCGTTAGGATGTCGGAGAATGGCCTTGGATAGCCCGAATCCGCACGATGAAGAACTTGCCATTCTGCTTCGCGGCGAGAACCTGAAATCTCGTCTTGGGCATAGACGCGAGCGTATCAATGACATCGGTAGTTCTCAGGCGGCTCCAAATCTGCTCGAGATTGGCTAGAAAGCTTGTCCAAGACACACTCAAGTCAGTGAAGTCAAAGTCCGGGTGCGGAGCAGTCGCAGACCTCATAGACCATCCACGGAGCAGGTAGGTCATCTTGCGATTGAGGGTTTCCATTTTCGAGGCGTTAAGCCGGCGAAAGTCACGGTCGATGGGAGGAAGGTCACAACCCATGACCCAGCGGTAGCCGGTCGAAGGAGCCTCAGGAACAGAAGTGAACGCATACTGCGATCTGCCCAGGCTTTCGGTCGAGGGTTCCGCTTCGGTAGTTGATGATGCTTCTGGCACATGCGTTCTGCTTGCAATTGGCAAAGTGAGATCCGCGGCCGGAGCTGTAGTGCTGGTAGTGGATGATGTAGCTTTCGGCATGGCTATGGACTTTGGCGACGCAGTCTGGAAGACGATCTCTTCTTCCTCCTCAGCCTCGCCGTCCTCAGATGATTGAGGAATGTTAAAGAAGGGTGGTTGACGGACAATGCCTGCGCTGACTATCTCCTCAGCTGGGCCTTCGCCCGCCGTCTGATCGGGGATGACGAACGTCTGAACTTCGCCTTCGGCCTCGATCCGCACGGCCTCTGCGTCCGGGATCTCGTCGTCAAGCTGTTGGACGAGGGAGACGCCGACAGTGGCTTGGATCTCCTCTTCCTCTTGTCCCAGAACCGCAGCTGAGGGGTCAAAGCGTGCGTGGTCCTCTTCGGTCACCTCTTCCATCACATTGGGGCGTAACGGCATAGGATCATCTTGTCTTTCCATCGGGTTCGCAAACAGAGGTGCGTTGATCACAATCTCTTCGTCGTCTCCTCTTTCCAGCCGAAGCTGCTCACCCCAATCGGGTCTCTGATGAGACCGGAGATTGGAGGCAGCGGAATGTTGGGCTGGGCTGTTGCCCCCCGGAAGTGCTTCTCGAAAATTCTGGCTCGAGAATTCTCCGCGAATTCGCACTTCCTGACTTTGATAAGGCGGTCCGTTAGGACGTCGCTGCAGAGGGCTCTGTACCAGTTGGTGCACACGTTGAGATTCTGGTCCGTGTACGCCATACGGTAGTCGTCGAACTTGTCAACCTTGGAGAGGAGGGGCATTGGGTCGACATCATTAAGCCCGGCTGCAGCAATGGCGGTAAAGTGCTCGGACATCGCCTCGTCATATGCCTTGGGCAACATGAACGTGAGGGAATTTTCTGGGCCACCGACGAAGGTCACAGAGTTGACGCATTCGTGCTGAGCCGCGGCGATGATTCGGTCCAGCGACCGCTGCACTCTGGCCTTTTGCTTTGCAGGCCAATGTACTCGGTCCTTGATTTGCTGGAACGTTAGTCCCGCGCTCTGTGAGAGATGCCACGTATATCCGAGGTAGCCGTAGGGGCCGTAGACATCGTTCCCGCCCAGGAAACGATAATGTCGAGGCCGTCGGGGAACTTCACGACCGGGTTGTCGTCGATGAGCTCCTCAATGGTGTTGGCTATCTCGCGGAGGCCTTTCCCCCACAACATCTTGACATGCACCGATGCGATCCGGGGCGGGGGTCGAGCTGGACGGCCTGGGACAACGGTGCCTCAAAGGTTGTCTTGTAGGTGGCTCGCCGGCTCTGATGCTGGCAGAGCGTCAAGGTAGAGTCACGAATGATGACAAAGTGTCCACGAACCTCAGTAGGCGGGGCCATCTTTTCGAACGCCGGAGTGAAAAAGTCACCAATCACTCTGCTCATCTCTGGGAAGACCGGTAGGCCCCCGAGCCCATCCTGAAGCTCCACGATCCTGTGGCAGATGTCGCAGCGCTTGGTAATGTCCAGGGCGTGGGGAGCCTTGTAGGTTCCACAGGCGAGAACCGCCACATCTCGGATAAGATCCGCAGACTGCGGCCCAGCCCGCTAAGGCGGTGTCTGAAATGACCCGTGACGGGTGGTCGCCACGACGCGGGTCAAACTTCACTCCGAACATCTCGTACCACTCTTCCACGAGGTCCGGCCAGGATGCCTGCGGGTTATTCTCACGGAGCTGCAGCCACTCCAAGTTGGGGATAAAGCCGAGAAAAAGACCAAGATGGTCGTAATGACGAGTGGGCTCGACAACCGCACTGCGCACATCCTTAATCCACGCGGGCTCGGTCAAGCCAGCCTGTGCGTCAGCACGGCGATCAGGGTCGCTCATCGCAGCCTTGAAGG